AGGCCAGTTGGAATCTGGACTGGCTTCCAAATCTTCACAGAAAATTATAAAAATAAAACTGTATTATTTTTGCGCTGTTCCCTAATCTGTATTTTGTATATATTTTGGTCTTTACAGCAGAACCACTACTTAGAAATGCATGTTCCGGGGGTGCCTCTGGTTCCCCTTTTTGCTTTTTATTATGCAATTTACCTTAATAGGCAAATTATTATGCGTAAAAAGGAATCTCATTGTAACTATTACTAATTATGGTATGCCCCTTCTCGGTCTCTCCACTCTGCCTGTGACCACCTCCTGTCCGCTGCTTGCACCCGTACGGCCAACTCACGCTTGCAGGACTTCTCGCGGGTGGCTCCCTTCCTAGGGAATAGCCTGCCTACCGCCATCAGACTCTCCCCATGTCTTGCATCTTTTAAGAAGTGCCTTAAAACCCATCTCTTTAGGAAAGCTTATGGCCTCCCAGAGTAACCTCTACCATACACACCTGTCTCTTGCTCTCTCCTAAAGGGCAGCACTCTACTCTCTCCTCCAGCTCTGCTTCACTCCCACCTTATCTGATTGCTATTTCCTGTCAGGGCCGGACTGGCCCACCGGGATACCAGGGAATTTCCCGGTGGGCCGGTAGACTTGGGGCCGGCAGTGCAGCACCTGAAAAAAATAATTTTTCCCTCCTGTGAGTTTTTGTTTGAGGGCTGGGGCAGATAATTACAGAGGTGGCTGCTAGAGGCTGGTACACAGACAGAGGTAGCAGCCATCTACAGCAGGGAGGAGTGAGAGCCTCCCACACATTGCCAGTCTCTCTGCACGGCCAGTCTGGTAGGATCCAGCCCCCGCACTGGAGCTCTGCCCCCAGCCTCAGCCTGGTGAACTTTCACACAGGAAGAGGAAGCACCTCATGGAGGAACCTGTGACGAGACCAATCTCACCACATTGCATTGGAGAAGCCTGGTTGCTCGCCTGCTGCCTTTGGACTATGGCCCCCTTTTAAAAAGACTTTATTTTTGCATGCAGAAAAGCTGTATTCGTGCTTTTCTGCCGGTTGTTCGGTAGTTTCAATCTACCGAACAACCGTACGAATGACTGGACCACCTGGGAGCTGGAGTGTGCCGGCAATTAACCTCCCTGAAGCTGCGGTTAACCGCAGCTTAATTGATGAATGCTGGGTGGCCGCCATTCGTATCCCGAACACGAGGTCGCGGCCATTTTAAACCATACGAATGAACAGCGGTGTTCGCCTCTATTTTCATGGAACTAAAATCGGACAGTTTTGCGCGAACACCGCTGAAGCCGCCGACCTCCCTTCTTGTTCGGTGAAAGTGCACGAATGGCCCGGTGTTCGGTATTTTTGTTTGAATGTCTTATACCCCAGATAGGAATCCCATGGAGCCCATTCGTATGAAACTGACTGTAAAGACTTTGGCTCCATGGCGATTAAACTGTATTCGTCTGGTCTGAGTGCCATTCACTTAATAATGTGCACTCAGACCTGAGCTATCTGGGGATATGTTACATGTCTGTGTTTTATGTAGTAAATGTTACTTTATGTATTTTAAAGTATAATACTGGTTTTGTGTCCCCACATGTGTAATGGAGTTTTGCCTTTGTCTTGGGAGATAATTGAGTTACTTCTCAATTATCTCCCAGGGCAGAGGGGAGGAAGCCAGGATGCATTGTGGGAATATATTGTGACTGTGTGTCCTATTTTGCTGATTGTCTGTCCCTTGTCACAGTCTCCCATTTGGTCCCCTAGGGGAGTGTCCACCAGGTGGGAGACCTGCATAAAAGCCGGGCAGGTAGCCCTCATTAAACAGACCACTGCTTGACCCTCAACACGGAGCCTTGTCTCGCCTTTGGGGGGATTTACTGTATGCTGCTAAGGACTGATTGCCAGGAGTGTAAGCCACTTGGAAGCTTTTCCTGTTCGCCTGCTAGCAGCTATTCGTATGGTTCCTGTTCGTTTATTTGAAGTGCTACCTTATTCCCTTGTATGCCGTTCGGGAGTTTGGAGCATTCACTTATTGGCGGTTCGTGAGTTTTGGTGATTATACAGTAGCTGTGCCTGTATCTCTGAAAAGGGGGATTATCGTCTAAGCGGTTTTTACCCCTTGTGTGCAAAACGGTCCGTTACAGAACCTCACACTGAACTGAATCCACACTGCCAGTGACAGGTAATTGTATGACTGATACTGAAAGAGAGAGAGAGAGAGAGAGAGAGAGAGAGAGAGAGAGTGTGTGTGTATCAGTGAGCTTGCCTGTAATAAGCTTGTGTGTGTCAGTAAGTTTGACTGTTGTGAGCTTGTCTGTAGTTGGGTTGTGTTTGTCACTGAGTTTGTCTCTAATGTGCTTGCGTGAATGTCAGTGAACTTGTGTGCGGCAGTAAGCTTGTCTGTAGTGAGCTTGTTTGTGTCAGTGAGCGTTTCTGTAGTCAGTGTGTGTGTGTGTGTGCCATTGAACTAGTGTGATTTATTAATGTGGAACATCCTTTTAATATATATATTTTCTGAAATTATATAATTGACACACTGATGCCGATATGCTGATATCCCTGCTTAAAGAATTGTACTCAAGCAGAGCCAGTCACAACGGACAGGGAGCGTCCTGGAGGATGGCGGTTATAGCACTGTAACACCCATGGATCATCTGTAGCGAGGGGCTGCAGGTAAGACAAAAATCTTCCAACGTACATACATATAAACAATACAAGCATACTATGTGACACAATGAATTAGAGGGCTGGAATAATTTTTTTTCCAGGGCTGCTTTCTGTTCCCAGTCCGGCCCTGTTTCCTGTCCTATTGTGTTTTACACCCCACCTCCTATAGACTGTAAGCTTGTTTGAGCAGGGCCCTCTTTAACCTATCGTTCTTGTAAGTTTTCTTGTAATTGTCCTATTTATAGTTAAATCACCCCTCTCGTAATATTGTAAAGCGCTACGGAATCTGTTGGTGCTATATAAATGGCAATAATAATATATAGTTACTGTATACAGTGTCTAAAGTATATAGTTACTGTATGTGGTGTATAACGTACACTGAAAAAAATTATAAACGCAACACTTTAGTTTTTGCCCCCATTTTTCATGAGCTGAACGCAAAGATCTAAGACTTTTTCTATGTACACAAAAGGCCTATTTCTCTCAAATATTGTTCACAAATCTGTCTAAATCTGTTAGTGAGCACTTCTCCTTGGCCGAGATAATCCATCCACCTCACAGGTGTGGTATATCAAGATGCTGATTAGACAGCATGATTATTGCACAGGTGTGCCTTAGGCTGGCCACAATAAAAGGCCACAATAAAAGGCCACTCTAAAATGTGCAGTTTTATCACACAGCAAAATGCCACAGATGTCGGGCTTTGAAGAAGCATGCATTTGGCATGCTGACTGCAGGAATGTCCACCAGAGCTGTTGCCCGCAAATTGGATGTTCATTTCTCTACCATAAGTCGTCTCCAAAGGCGTTTCCAAGAATTTGGCAGTACATCCAACCAGCCTCACAACCGCAGCCCAGGACCTCCACATCCAACATCTTCACCTCCAAGATCGTCTGAGCCACCCGGACAGCTGCTGCAACAATCGGTTTGCATAACCAAAGAATTTCTGCACAAACTGTCAGAAACCGTCTCAGGGAAGCTCATCTGCATGCTCGTCGTCCTGATCGGCAGGCCCGGACTGGCCATCGGGCACACCGGGCAAATGCCCGGTGGGCCGCGGTGTCCGTGGGGCCGAGGCCGGCAGGGGAGGTCCCAGGATCTCCCCTGCCGGTCTATGCAGGGCCGGCACTCTCCCAGCGCCGGCCCCGCTGTTTTCCACGACGGGCCGGTGGGGAGATCAAGGATATCCCTGACCGGCCCACATGCGGCCGCCGGCGGGGAGGGAGGGAGACAGCCAGCCAGCCAGGCTGGAGAGAGGACCCGGCGGAGCTCTAACTTGCAGCTCCGCCGGGTTCCTCTCGCGAGATCTGGCGCGTTGCCATGGCAACGACCGGATCTCGCGAGAGTGAACTCTAGCCTCACAGGCTAGAGTTCACTCACCCACGAGGACCACCAGGGAATACCGCCACCCTGCCTGCCAGCGTGCCGGACCCCCCTCCCTGGCTAAAGGTAAGAAGGGAGGGGGGACATAATGCCTGTTTTTTTTATTTTATTTTTTTTATTTACCCCCCCCTACACACACACACACAATAACATTTATACAGCACTCTCACACCCATCACACTCACAGCACTTTCACACACAGAACTCTCTCACAGAGCACTCTCTCACACACACAGCACTCTCTCACACAGCACTCTCACACACACACAGCACTCTCTCACAGAGCACTCTCACACACACACAGCACTCTCTCACACAGCACTTTCACACACACACAGCACTCTCTCACACAGCACTTTCACACACAGAACTCTCTCACAGAGCACTCTCTCACACAGCACTCTCACACCCATCACACTCACACCACTTTCACACACACAGCACTCTCTCACAGAGCACTCTCACACACACACAGCACTCTCTCACACAGCACTCTCACACCCATCACACACAGTACTCTCACAGAGCACTCTCACACACTCACAGCACTCTCTCACACAGCACTCTCACACCCATCACACTCACACCCATCACACTCACAGCACTTTCACACACACAGCACTCTCTCACAGAGCACTCTCACACACACACAGCACTCTCTCACACAGCACTCTCACACCCATCACACACAGCACTCTCTCACAGCACTCTCACAGAGCACTCTCACACACACACAGCATTCTCTCACACAGCACTCTCACACCCATCACACTCACAGCACTCTCACAGAGCACTCTCACACACAGCACTCTCACACCCATCTCACACAGGGCACTCTCACACGGCACTCTCACACCCATTACTCACACTGCACCCTCACACGCACACATACTGCACCCCTCACATACACACAGAACCCCCCCAACACACTGCACCACACACATACACAATACTTCCAAATATATATATGTGTGTGTGTGTGTGTGTATATATATATATATATACACACACACACACACACACACACACACACACACACACACACTCTTAAAGGACCACTCTAGCCACCCAGAACACTTCAGCTTAATGAAGTGGTCTTGGTGCCAGGTCCTTCTAGGGTTAACCCATTGTTTTATAAACATAGCAGTTTCAGAAAAACTGCTATGTTTATCAATGGGTTAAGCCTTCCCCCAAAGCCTCTAGCAGCTGTCTCATTGACCGCCGCTAGAGGCGCTTGCGTGCTTTGCACGCAAGCGTCCATAGGAAAGCATTATAAATGCTTTCCTATGCGACCGGCTGAATGCGAGCGCAGCTCTTGCTGCGCGTGCGCATTCAGCCGACAGGGCGGATCGGAGGAGGAAAGCTCCCCGCCCGGCGCTGGAAAAAGGTAAGTTTTAACCCCTTTCCAGAGCCGGGCGGGAGGGGGTCCCTGAGCCACATATGCATCACATTACACCACAAACACAACACGACTAAAACCGACCTTATTACACAATACGACCAGCTCACTCTACACACACGCAATACCACAAGCAGGCTCCAAACACATGCACAATACTCTTTCCTGGCCTTTTGTCTCCTGGTATCCATTTATAGAGACACCAGAGACAAATTGCAAGGAAACACAGTGCAAGCATGTTATTAAATTTGCTTGCACTGTGCAGAACAAATACAGGACTTTTTTCTCATGCTAGAGCTCTTCAGCAGAGCTCTGCGCATGGTCTGCCCTGGAAGAGCATTGAACCAACATGCTCACTTTGAGAGGAGGCGTGTTTGTCATTGGTGATGACAAAACACACCTCCTATGCCCCGCCCCCTTTTTAGTGGGCCGCTGTGTTAAAAAAATGCCCGGGCCGAATTTTTCTCCCAGTCCGGCCCTGCTGATCGGGGTCTCGACCTGACTGCAGTTCGTCGTCGTAACTGACTTGAGTGGGAAAATGCTCACATTCGATGGCGTCGGGTACTTTGGAGAGGTGTTCTCTTGGATGAATTCTGGTTTTCACTGTACAGGGCAGATGGCAGACAGCGTGTATGGCATTGTGTGGGTGAGCGGTTTGGTGATGTCAACGTTGTGGATCGAGTGGCCCATGGTATCGGTGGGGTTATGGTGTGAGCAGGTGTATGTTGTGGACCACGAACACAGGTACATTTTATTGATGTCATTTTGAATGCACAGAGATACCGTGACGAGATCCTGAGGCCCGTTGTTGTGCTATTCATCCACGACCATCACCTCATATTGCAGCATGAAAATGCACGGTCCCATGTTGCAGGATCTGTACACAATTCCTGAAAGCTGAAAACATCCCAGTTCTTGCATGGCCAGCATACTCACCGGACATGTCACCCATTGAGCATGTTTGGGATGCTCTGGATCGGTGTATACGACTGCGTGTTCGAGGTTCTGCCAATATCCAGCAACTTTGCACAGCCATTGAAGAGGAGTGGACCAACATTCCACAGGCCACAATCAACAATCTGATCAACTCTATACGAAGGAGATGTGTTGCACTGCGTGAGGCAAATGGTGGTCACATCAAATATGGACTGGTTTTCAGACCCCCATGGATCCCCCAATATAGTAAAACTGCACATTTTAGCGTGGCATTTTATTGTGGCCAGCCTAAGGCACACCTGTGCAATAATCACGCTATCTAATCAGCATCTTGATATGCCACACCTGTGAGGTGGATGGATTATCTCTGCAAAGGAGAAGTGCTCACTAACACAGATTGAGACAGATTTGTGAACAATATTTGAGAGAAATTGGCCTTTTGTGTACATAGAAAAAGTCTTAGATCTTTGAGTACGGCTCATGAAAAAGGGGGGCAAAAACAAAAGTGGTGTGTTTATAATTTTGTTCAGTGTACCGTTTATAAATAATGTATATAGTTACTGTATATGGTGCATAATATAAATAAATACTGTATACGGCGTGTAATGTATATAATGTATATAGTTACTGTATAGGACGTACAATGTATATTAATGTATATAGTTAATGTATACGGCGTATAATGTATATGAATAATGTAAATAGTTACATACTGTACGCCTGGCAATATATTCTTCTTGATTGAAATATTATTGATGTCAGTTTTGTTTAGGTTTCTGTTTTGGTGTGGGTTATGTAATATAGCGATACGTTTAATCCATTGACACAGCCCTATTTTTCCTGCACTTACTATTATTACCCCACCCTTCCTGAAACACTGACTAAACAAGGCTTCCATGCCAACAGTGCGACGGGTATCTGGGCTCACACTGCCAGCGCTGCATGTGTGAACAGATTCTGGGTGTATTTTCCCAAAGTACAAAGTGTAGTGCGTGGAATCGAGCAGAACTAATTGTCATTAATTAGCAGATTAGAATCCGGAGTGACTAAGGTGTCTCATTACATAATGAACTAGTGTTACGTAAACTCCAACATAACCTTTCAGCTCTATAATTATTGGGATGTGAATTGGCGACCTCTCTCAGGACGCTACAGCGCAGACGTGGACAAATTTGTTATTATCCCTGTGTGCAGGAAACGGAGATACCTGTTGTAGTGGAGAGCTAGTAACCCAAGTGAGGCTCAGGAACAAGTAGTAAAATCCAAGAGAATAATATCCACAGTAAATAGAGTAATCCCAGAATATCCCATCACCTTCCCAATGACTGGACGACACACAGCATCAGGAGCAGAACTGAACTTTTACTCCACACATCCTTCTTTTAAGCATTTCTCCCATGCAAGGGAGGCACCCACAGTAATTAGTACAGTGACCAATCATTTACCAGTTACCTCCCACACATCTCCTCCCCTCAGTGTGGGATGTACCCCGTTTTCAGATGTACCCCAAATATGCTAGATACAATTATACATGTTATACCCCCTGGTAGCCCTGATCTGGGTGAGCAACATATTTAAAAATCACCCAGATTGGACCAGGGGTTCGGGAGTTAGGTGGAAGTAGTTATTTGACCGACCGCACATGAGGCAGTAGCTGAAAACACTTCCATGTATTTTGGCCTTGCGGTCGGTCTTTGTTCGGGAGATAAAAATCACGAAAATCAGTGCCATCCAGGGCTGAGCTGGGGTTCGTATGATTCATTTAACCGAATGATGGGCTGGCTGGTTGTTCTGTTCGGTAGTTACGGAGCTCTGGAGGTCTCAGCGGTGTTCAGGTAATCGAGTGTCGACGACCAAACACCGCTGAGCGTTCGTATGCAAGATGACCTCCGCCACGCGTTCGTATGCCGAACAGCGGCCACCCAGAAACCCACACGAGTATTTAGTCAATTTCCAATTAGCCTGTGGTTACAATGAATTAAGGGGTAAACGAGGGGCACACTTCTCCCTGGGGTGGTCTGATTGTTCAGTATTTTCATTCGTATGATGAACGGAGTGATTTTACCGAACAGTCGAATGCTGCATACAATATAGATACACATAGCAAGAAATTAAACGAAACCACATTGTAACTCAAAATTTTGTAGACAGCCCAATGCAATCTGCTACACTTGTTATCCAACTTTCCAAAATCAAACTGCAGCAATTCAAAAAAGAAATGTGGCGCAATTTGTGTGAATATTGGCTTCCGTGGTCTTTAAAACAATGCCTCCAACACAATCCAGTAACAAGGCATCACCAGTAACAGGGAGTAACCTGTAACAGCGCCGCAACCCATAACAACTACGTAACCCGTAACAACTATGTAACCCATAACAGGGCGCAACCCGTAACAGGGCATAACCTGTAACAGCGCCGCAACTCGTAACAACCATGTAACCCGTAAAAGCGACGTAACCCGCAACAGCGATGTAACCCGCAACAGGGCGCAACCAGTAACAGGGCGCAACCCGTAACAGGGCGTAACCTCAAACAGCACCGTAACCCATAACAGGGCGTAACCCGTAACAGAGCCGCAACCTGTAACAACTACGTAACCCGTAACAGTGACGTAACCCGCAACAACAACGTAACCTGTAACAGGGCGCAACACGTAACAGGGTGCAACCCATAACAGCAACGTAACCCGTAACAGGGCGTAACCCATAACGACGTAACCCGTAACAGTGACATAACAACAACGTAACCCATAACAGGACGTAACCCGTAACAGCGATGTAACCCGTAACAGGGCGTAACCCATAACAGCGAGGTAACCAGTAACAGGGCATAACGCGTAACAAGACGTAACCCGTAACAGCGAGTAACCCGTAACGGGGGGTAACCTGTAAAAGCGACGTAACCCGTAACAGGGCGTAACCCGTAACAACGACCTAACCCATAACAGCGACGTAACAACATAACCCGTAACAGGACGTAACCCGTAACAGCGATGTAACCCGTAACAGGGCGTAACCCATAACAGCGAGGTAACCCGTAACAGGGCATAACCCGTAACAAGACGTAACCCGTAACAGCGAGTAACCCATAACAGCGAGGTAACCCGTAACAGGGCATAACCCGTAACAAGACGTAACCCGTAACAGCGAGTAACCCGTAACAGGGCGTAACCTGTAAAAGCGATGTAACCCGTAACAACGATGTAACCCATAACAGCGACGTAACAACATAACCCGTAACAGGACGTAACCCGTAACAGAGATGTAACCGTAACAGGGCTTAACCGTAACAGCAAGGTAACCCATAACAGGGCGTAACCCGTAACCCGTAACAGCTAGGTAACTCGTAACAGGGCGTAACCCATAACAGCGAGGTAACCCGTAACAGGGCATAACCCGTAACAAGACGTAACCCGTAACAGCGAGTAACCCATAACAGCGAGGTAACCCGTAACAGGGCATAACCCGTAACAAGACGTAACCCGTAACAGCGAGTAACCCGTAACAGGGCGTAACCTGTAAAAGCGATGTAACCCGTAACAACAACGTAACCCATAACAGCGACGTAACAACATAACCCGTAACAGGACATAACCCGTAACAGAGATGTAACCGTAACAGGGCTTAACCGTAACAGCAAGGTAACCCATAACAGGGCGTAACCTGTAACCCGTAACAGCTAGGTAACTCGTAACAGGGCGTAACC